TTCACAGATCAGCTGCATATGGTAGAGCATCCCTTTTGGGCTAGGGAAACAAGCCCTGATTGGTGGGATCACATTGTCATGCAGGTGTGGGATGACTATCAGTGGGTATAGAACTTCATGGAGCTATTTGCTGAGCTGGCCCCCGACCTGTGGCACAAGGACACCAGATTGAGAGAAGCATGTTGCAGTCGCACTGTGGAAGCTGGCGAATCCAGACTGCTACCGGTCAGTCGCAAATCAGTTTGGAGTGGGGAAAGTCCACTGTTAGGGCTATATTACTCCAAGTGTGAAGGGCAATAAATCGCATCCTGCTGCATAGGACCATGGCTCTGGGAATGTGCATGACATAGTGAATGGCTTTGCAGAGATGGGTTTCCCTAACTGTGGCGGGGTGATTGGTGCACACATTCCAATTTTAGTGCCAGACCACCTTGCCTCTGAATACATCAATCAGAAGGGATACTTCTCCATGGTGTTGCAGGTGCATGTGGATGACCAGGGGCGTTTCATGGACATCAGTGCAGGCTGGTCTGGAAAGGTGCATGACGTACGTACCTTCAGGAACAGTGGCCTGTACAGAAAGCTGCAGGCAAGGACTTTCTTTCCAGACCACAAGTTCACAGTGGGGGATGTGGAAATGCCCATAGTAATCCTGGTAGACCCCTCTTACCCCTTACAGCCCTGGCCCATGAAACCTTACACAGGGCACCTGGACATCAGCAAGGAGCATTTTAACAGGCTGAGCAGGTGCCGCATGGTAGTCGAATGTGCCTTTGGCCGTTTGAAAGCTCACTGGAGGTGTTTAAATGGCAGGCTAGACCCCCCCCCAGTAACACGTCTGCTTTGGAGTTGCTTTCCTGTTGCATCCATGTACAATTTTGGGGCCCAAGATCCATGCAACAAAATGCTTTAGAAGCCTGTACCCGAGAGTGAATTGACTGCTATACGCTTTTATACAGAATAAAAATGCTGTACCATTAAATACCTTACCCTTTATTTGTTGTTAAAAAGGGTAAAGCCTCACAACTGTTTGTGGCTCCAGCTATCCTTGTGCAAGCTATCAGAGGGGCTGGAGTGATAGGGAAACTCAGGAGTGCTGTGGAGTGAACAGGAATGTGTGGGCATTGGGGGGGAGGGGGAGGTTGGCAAAGAATTGTGCGTCTGCTGCAGAGGTGCTTGAACTCGGATCTGCTCAGTCTGCAGCTGTATCAAGGACTTGAGCATCTTTGTCTGATCCTCCATCACTTTTATCATCCGCTCTGTCGCTTGCCTAGCAAAAGCAGCAGTCTCTTTTCTGTCCTGCCTTTCGGCTTCCCAGCACTCTTTCCGTGCCCCGGTCTGTCGCTCATCGCGCTGCAGCACCTCGCAGAACATCTCTCCTTTGCTGCGCCAAGGATTCTTTCTTATCTGCCGCAGCCAGTCCGTGGGGGTGCGTGATGTGGTCTTCAAAGTCTGTGCTGAACAGAAGAGGGATTGTTTTATTCCAGCAAATGACTGAAACGTTTTAGTAAAACGGACCTTCTGCCAAGAAAGTGATTTCTATGAGCAAGCACACAGCTCTACGAGCACCCCAATCATGGTGAGTTTCAGGAGTGGAAAGGCAGTTGTGCGTACGGACAAAAAGATTATGGTTTGCAGGGCAGTTTTGAAGGGAACTCATTCTAAAATTATCCCACAATTTTTCACAGGTAGCCAACCTGCTGGCTGACATCTCGCTGATGAGGGTGACTAGGGAAACCAGTGCTCAGCTTCTGAATGCTTGTGGCTTTCACCCCAGTCTATAGGCAGCTCAGCTATGTGCCACTTTGCTAAATGGCAAGATACAGTTACCTACAATGGGGGGACCTAACAAGGCTGCAATCCCTTGGAATCTGCAGCAGAGGATTAACAAGTACCTCTTGGAAACTTTCTAGAGCTTCTCTCAGGAGGATTCCCTGCAGGTCTCGATGTCCATCGACACCCTGCTTGGCGATGCAGATTAGCTACACACTACTTGCCTCCCACTTTTCAATTCCCTACACAAGCCATAGCAACTTACCCAGAGTCTCATCTGCTTCCTGCTCCACATTGAGCACTTCTAGAGTGGAAAGCTCCTGGCTGCATGCCCCACCAGGCGACCCTGCTGGGAGCACCTCAGCCTCTTCTAGCTTGACTTCTTCATCCACAATTACAGCCTCAGGGTTACCCCCTCTTTCTGCTGCCTGCAAAGTATCCACGGGGCTATCGGTGATGGAGGTGGGGTCACCACCGAGGATAGCATTCAGCTCCTTATAGAAGCGGCAGGTCTTGGCGCACCACCAGAGCGATGGTTCACTTCCCTCACCTTATGGTACGCCTGCCTCAGCTCCTTTATCTTCGCTCTGCACTGCTGCATGTCCTGATCGTAGCCCTTATCGCACAAGCCTCGAGAAATTTGCCCATATGTGTCCTGATTCCTACGGGTCACTCACAGCTGAGACTGAACAGACTCCTCTCCCCATATACTGATCAGATCCAACAACTCAGTGCTGGTCCAAGCGGGAGCACATTTGGGGCGATAGCCAGCCATGCTCACCTGGGAAGCCAGCAAGCAGGAAATGAGATTTAAAAGTCCTGGTGCTTGCAAGGGGAAGGGGCGCGTTGGCTGCAGGGCAGCAGAGTTCAAACTGCTGACCAGAGTGGCAGCAGCATGGGAATTTTGGGATAGTTTCCTGGAGGCCAATAAAATTGGAGGTAAAACCTGTGGTGTCTAGACTGGCTGGCTGTCGACAATAAAGGGAGGGGGGAAAGACAAAAGTCTCTCGCAGGGGATAGAAGTTTTTTGTTGCCAAAACTGGGGGAGGGGGGTTCTGAAAAAGGTGACCTTGCAGTGTGTACGCTATTGCTGTTTTGTCGCCAAAACCCCAGTTTTTGGCAACAAACTTGCAAGTGTAGACAAGCCCCCAGTTAACTGTAGGCCTTGATGGCTGGCCCTCCTCTTACAATTTTCTGTAAAGACAAGGAGGCACTTAAGCCTCACCCCAGATTTCTCTCTAAACTAATTGATTGGTTAACATGAAAATCAATTTCTCTTTCTCTCCCTCCCCAACCTCATGTTGATAAGTGAATCTGGATTGCATTATTTAGATTTTAAAAGCTCCTTATTTTACTGTCTGACTGCGGAGTTTAGGATTTTCTCCAAAACTGTTCACTTGCTGTGCTGAAAATTGCAAACACCATGCTTTTTCTGTGCCAACATTGTCTAGATTGGTTATTAAAATTGAGTATTAAAATTATAAGATATCTTCTCTCTCCAGCACTGGGTCTCAGAACTATCTCTACTAATTGTATTTTAGATATGATGCCCTTATTGAGATATGTAAAGCTGCCACTTTGGGGTTCAGTTCATACTTTCACGAAATTTTATGCTTTTAGATTTATCTGGTAGATCTGATGCTCAGTTTGGCAGGGCGATGTTTCAATCTCTATTTAATTAGGACCTTGTGTCCCTCCATCCTTTGCTGAATATTGCTTGTCAAACTACCCCAAGAGTGAGGCTATGCAGAGGACCTTCAAAGAAGGAATGAAGGTAACCGGAGTTCTTCCAGATGGACGCTGCATTTTCATGCTGTCCACACACCACCTCCTCTTCCGTAGAGTCCTAAGTAATACCACTGTACTTGGCACTAGCTGTGGGGGGGAACTGAGCAAGTGCTCACACCATGCTCCTTTTTATGGCCACGCCCTTACAACATGCTTGAACACTGAGGGGACTAGGAGGAGGGGCTTGTGGGCACTCACTGGCCGTATTACTAGAAAGTTCCATCAGATGGCACATCACGAAAGTGAATATGCATAGTGTCAGAGAAATTGGGTTACAAGTGAGTAACCTTCATGTATAACAACAACAAAAAGACACAAAGTAAGTGCCTTCAGAATAAATGTTATGGGAATTGAAATAAATTGCAATTTGGGGAGCAGTAAACTGGATGTTTGACAGATGACTCTACTGACCTGAACAGGCTTTATCTTGTCTGACTTCTAAAAGTAAACCATTGAATCTGGCTAATGTTTAAATGGATGACTGAGAACTGTTACTGTTCTAGACTTGTTGCTGCTTTGTGATAGTAATGGTTATTAATTATTTTGTCTTGCCTATGGACAATGTGAAGTGTTCTGAGATCCGCTTTTGGTCTTTGAATGAAAATTACGATCTCTAGCCCATGATCTTGGTTAGTCTGAAATAAGACAAGATTAGGATGGAAAAGTCCATGGGTAATCATGTGCACCAAACTGTTAACTTGAGAAACATCTTTGAGATGGGAAAGAATTGCAGTCTGCCTTGATAGGAGGGATCTCAGATAGTGCTGATCCAAAACTGGCAAAACTTTCAAAAATGTAATGAGAAAATTCTTAGTAGGCCTCTGTCAAAATGTTGACCAGCTCTAGTCTCTGAGCAGGACTTGGATGGCACTGAAATCCTGTGAAGTCGGGGAGATGAGTTGTTGAATCTGGCTACAAATGCTTTCCTTCCCTGGCATAACTGGGGTCTGAGCAAGGCTGCCTGGAAAACACTAATGAAAATGCTCATTGACTAAAGCAGCTACAAATGTGCTGTCAAGACTTTCATTTGTGGATTTTGCTCAGTATCTTGTCTGTATTCATATGATGTGGTTCAGGCCCATCAGCCCCCAAGCCTAGAAAAGGAAGGCAAATTTTAAAGGCTCCCCTCTCCAGCCGCCAGAACAGTGCAAGAATCAGTGCAAAATGAGCATAGCCAAAGAGCCCTCTGGTTCTGCAAATTGGAAGTACGTGTATAGGACCTTCAGTATATCTTACCTTGAGAGACGGGGAAACTGGAATCGAATATCTTTTTTGACGCTTAAATGGGAATAAGTAGACGTAATATAATTAAGTATAATCTGTAAAGGTTGGGTTGTAATCAGTTTTGTTAAATGTTTTCTAGAGCTCTAAGTTTTTGGAAAGAACCATACTTGCACACTTTATTTTTAAAGGCTAACTTTAAAATGTGTATATTCTAGGACGTGGCATTTATTCCAATGTGTTGGGATTTCTTGGTGGTGTTTCCTGGGCGATGCTGGTAGCAAGAACATGTCAGCTCTATCCAAATGCATTGGCATCTACTCTAGTTCACAAATTCTTCCTAATTTTTTCAAAATGGTAAGTTTTTAAACACTTCTCATAGCCCCCCCCCTCCAAAATTAGCTAAGCATTGTCTTGTCAAACTAGTTCTACACTTAACTAGACTTAAGCTAAATTGTCTTCATTTTGTGTAATTTTAAAGAAAAATTACTTTACATGGACAAAACTATACATGATAGTCATTCTTTGGTCTCTTGTACAGGGAATGGCCAAATCCTGTGTTGCTCAAACAACCTGAAGATAGCAATCTAAATTTGCCAGTCTGGGACCCTAGGGTATGTAGATTTCTTTTCTTTCTTAATTTATAATCACTTTAAACACACTAATGGAACCATTCTAATGCCATAGGTAAACCCATCTGACCGATATCATCTAATGCCCATAATCACGCCAGCCTATCCGCAGCAGAACTCTACGTATAATGTGTCTACTTCAACACGAGCAGTAATGGTAGAGGAGTTCAAGCAAGGTAATGCATTTCAAACCTCTCCATACTTTTTACATGATCTAAAAATGAGCCAAAATAAATAGATGCCAAGTAAAAATGTTCTTCCTTTAGAAGAAAACACATTTATATGCTGTGAGGACCAATCCGGCACTGGCAGGAGGATGGAACAGATGAACTACATCTCTTCTGTTTCTCATTTCTAGGAATCAGTTTGGACTAGCATGGTGATGCAGGGTCAACTTTCCAAAGTGTATTGAAATTACAGTAGTAGGTGACCCAGTTCTGTATAGTGGCAGGAATTCCCATTTGTTCTATCGTTTAGTTAACCGCGCAGGATGATGATTCCTAGCTTTCATATAGCTTTTTTCATACATAGATCTCAAAGGACTTGGTATCCAAGATCTGGGTAGAAATTTAATATGCTTACCTGGTCAGGTTAACTGTCTACAAAAATCAAACATAGCAATTTTTTTTTTAAAAAAACATAGGTCTTGCTGTCACAGATGAAATTCTCCAAGGAAAATCAGACTGGCCAAAACTCCTTGAACCCCCAATCTTTTTTCAGAAGTACAAGTATGTATGAATCCATTGTCTGTCTGTGAAATATTTTGAACTACAATGCAATTGGAATAAATTTTTTGCTCTCTGATTTTAAAAAAAGAAAAAAATTTCAGGTTAGTACAACTACCATAACTTGCTGTTTGCTTATAGGGACTTCATTTTCTCCCATCCCTATTCTACCTAGTGAATTAGAATGCAGTAAAAGTAAAATGCACACTACTCTTCAGTAAGAAAACCTGTAACTTTTATACTATGCAGAATTGTTTTCAGTACCTCTAAATGTGGCTTGAAAATAGCTTGAAGAAAAGGGAATTGGAAGAGCCTTATTTCCATTTAGGCTGAAATAGCTGAACCATTACCCCAAATTTATCCTAAACATATGAAGAAGCATACTTAGCTCACCCTAAAGAGCATAATTCCTAGTTTGTCTAGTCTTATGGTGGCATGCAGAGTACAGGCACTACACGTGTAGCTACATGTGGCAGTGAAGGGCTCCAGCAGCGGGGACACTATGCAGCTAAAAATAGTAGTGTAGATGTGGGAAACACTGCATGGGTGTGGGAGCCATGTAGGGTGTATACCCTGGGGCTTCAGGTGTGTAGAACACTTACTCTAATAAGCCATACCCACGCTAACAGGGCATGCGGTGTCTGTACATATGTACAGGTATGTATTTATGTCTTTACATATCTCCATAAGTGTGTAGATATACCCCTAGACACATTAGTGCCGATCCCAAAGGAAGAAAGCATTCTTGTTCTACGTAACTAGAGTTCTTTTAAGAGCCATCCTAGAAGAGTTAAAATATTCCATTGGTTTGGAGAGATTAAACTTTCAAACTGCGTTAGTGTTTTAGGATTGCTCCTTCGTTAAAATATAGTATAATGCTAGATGATGGGTGGTTAAGCAGTAAGATATAATAATACATTAATGAACTAATACAAGAGTAAATTGCATGTATATGTTTTTGGTTCAGTGGAATGTGATCTTTCTATCTGTTTTCAGTTACACAGCTACCCAGCGTAGATTTATTCTTCATAGTTCTGGGAAAGTATGATCCATGACTTCTTTCATGTCAAGAAGTCTTGGAATTGTTGCAGTGAGTTTTCTATTCTGAGTTTGGCAACTAAACTTTCTGATCCCAGAGACAGGCTAAATATTTTAATGTTTTCCAGGCATTATATTGTGTTGACTGCTAGTGCCTCTACTGAAGAGAATCATTTAGAATGGTAAGTCATTCTTAAATATGGGTTTATTCTTTCACTTGAAACATGGTTTAGAGTTGGATTTTCTTCATGTATTGGAGAAAATTGTGGAGCACTAAACTCTTCTTTGTTTAAAACTATTCAACTTGGAATTTACTGTAGTGTATTTGAACACAAAGGTGTAGGTGCTAAATGTTAAAAAGCTTTTGTCAAGGTTCCTTCCCCACTCTGAACTCTAGGGTACAGATGTGGGGACCTGCATGAAACCCCCCAAGCTTATTTTTACCAGCTTAGGTTAAAACTTCCCCAAGGTACAAATTTTACCTTTTGCCCCTGGACTTTATTGCTGCCACCACCAAGCGTCTAATAAATATATAACAGGGAAAGAGCCTGCTTAGAAATGTCTTTCCTTCCCCCCCCCCCCCAAATCCTCCCAAACCCTACACCCCCTTTCCTGGGGAAGGCTTGATAAAAATCCTCACCAATTTGCATAGGTGAACACAGGCCCAAACCCGTGGATCTTAAAAACAATGAAAAAGCAATCAGATTCTTAAGAAGAATTTTAATTGAAGAAAAAGTAAAAGAATCACCTCTGTAAAATCAGGGTGGTAAATACCTTACAGGGTAATCAGATTCAAAACATAGAGAATCCCTCTAGGCAAAACCTTTAAGTGACAAAAAGACACACACAGGAATATACATTCCATTTAGCACAACTTATTTTATCAGCCATTTAAACAAAACAGAATCTAATGCATATCTAACTAGATTGCTTATTAACCCTTTTACGGGAGTTCTGACCTGCATTCCTGCTCTGGTCCTGGAAAAAGCATCACACAGACAGAGAGAACCTTTGTTTTCCCCCCCCCCTCCAGCTTTGAAAGTATCTTGTCTCCTCATTGGTCATTTTGGTCAGGTGCCAGCAAGGTTATCCTAGCTTCTTAACCCTTTACAGGTGAAAGGGTTTTTCCTCTGGCCAGGAGGGATTTAAAGGTGGTTACCCTTCCCTTTATATTTATGACAGCTTTCTATAATTCTCTTGGAAAACTTAGATAAGTGTTAAACCTCCAACCTTCTGGGGTGGTTTCTCAAAACACCACAAGCAATGATAAGCACTTGTAAGATTAAACAATATCTGCAGTTTAAGTGCTGCCCGACTGTTTGGCAGTATGCAAGAGGAAGACATGCTATCAGCACCAGGTAACTTGCAATTAAAGCACACAGTTGAGAGCAATAATGCATCAAGTGACCAATTTAATCATAAAACTAACCATTTTTAATATAGGTGGTGGTAAATTTTGGCTGATCAGTATTGGTGGCCTGTGTAGAAGTTTGAGGGATTTGAAAGATGATAAAGGATTGGGACATAAGTGATATGTGAAAGCATACAAGGAAAAATGTTCTTGAGTGTTTTTCTGTTTTTGTTTTTTGGCCCTGGGTAAACCTTGCTCCTGTCTGAAAATCTTCATTGGTAATGGTGACTCTGAAGTAAGTGGGGGGTGTTTGGTGGTGGTGTCCTCTTATGTTATGCAGCTGTATAGTCACTACTATGAAATTGGCTCTTCAAATCATATCTTTCCAAATGCAAGATTTCTCCTAATTACTTTCTTCTGAATTGTAAGTGTATGCTGCGGTTTACAAGTAAGCTTCAGTTTCAAAAATAATGTTTCAGTAGTTATAGTATCAACATATTACATGATTTGTTCTTATAGGGACTTCTGTTTCAATAATCAACCATTTCTCTGAAATCTAGATGTGGGATCACACTTCTGAGGCTGAGAATTTAAACATCAACATGGTGATAAAGACTTTTTCCTATATTAGCCATAAGGCAACAGCTTTGCTTTTAGCACTGACTGGAAAGGAGCTTGATCTGAAGGCAGTCAGGATTCAAAAACAGTTGTATAGCAATAAGCTTTTAATAGGCTGCAGAACACTAGCAGCTTTAAACTAATCTGCAGAACTCCTTGTGAGAGCACTATATCAGAATAGCAATTCAAGAAAAAAGTGGTTGGCACCATTTGCTATATTCTAACCTATTTCTATTTGTTCTAATGAAGTGTGGTTATGAACGTTTATTTACCTTATGTGTAGCAACACCAGGTAATAGGGTACATATTTCAGAATATCCTCTTTGTTCTGTAACTAACAACCCAAATGTGCTCATTTCAATCAAACAATATCATATTAAATATCAAACATTTTTAAGGCCAAAACTATGTATTATGTCACAATAGCCTGTTAAGCATTAATTTTTGTTTGTTTCTGAAATGAAGTGCTTAACTGTGTTAAGGCTGCATGTACCAGTTAATGGGGGCACCCTGCTAGAAACTCCATAGTTAGGGTTCTGTTTTAAAATGGAGCATAAATCTCTGCTGCTGCTCTAAAAAGTGGCTTTTTGATGCAACTGCTTTTTAGGCCCTTCGATTTTTCTGTGCAGCCTTGGCTTTTTCTCATTTTAATAGGAAGGATATGAAATTTGGGTCTTGTTTTCCTTGGCAGTCTGATCATCCACTAAAAAAGAACAGGAGCTTTCTCTTTATAAAATGTATGTATGTTCGCATGCACACACAGCGAAACAGTACAGTACGTAGCACCATTCATTCATTCACTCACAGATGCTGCTCCCCCAACCTTCCCTTCACACACTCCTCTACCAAATGTCCCTGTCCTAGTTGTGTGTTGTGATGCACTGGGAGGGGATAACTCGGAGGTGATGAAAGGCTGGCATCTGTAGGGGACAGAGTTAAGTTTGTAGTGTAAGTAGTTGTGGTAATAAGGTGTCTGGGTATAAAAGAGGACATGTACTGTTGAGTTGGCTTATCCATTTCTCTGTTTTTGTGGATTTGAGTCAGGTCTGAGTGTAGCAACCCTAACTGTTGCACATTTTGTGTGTGTGTGTTAATGCAGGCAGGAGTAACCTACAACACGCTGTATAAATGCAGTTAACATATGTTTGTCACAGTTTCAATAAAATATTGTTTTAACTGAACTAATAGTTGTCTCACATGGCTACTCAAGGGCAAAATCCATCTGTAAAATATGGCTTTTCTGAGGATAATAACTTGTGCTGTGTTGATTAACAATATAACTGATTGTTTCACTGTATTTTTGGTTCAATTTGAAAAATGTTCAAGCCCAAATAACCAAATCTAACCAAAAATCTATAGCCTATAGACAAACAATGCAATATAAAAAGGAGACATTACATACCCACCTTTCAGGAAGCAATTCTTACCTTGAAGCATGTTCACCTTATGCAGTAAGTGTGAGTTGAAGAAGCACCTCCAAAATTACCTCCATTTATATCATGACTGTTCACAAGTTTTTTAAAAGCACTTTATATGTCACCTACAATCCAGCCCACCAGTTCCTTAACATGTTGTTGTTCTGTACCTTTCATTATCTCTGTTTTGGAAACCACATTCCAAACCAGTTGGACTTAGAACAGATTAGGATTTACCTCTAGGACACACCATTGGTGTATTTTGGCTTTGACAGGCTTCTTATTTTCTAATGCCAAAACTGACTTCAGCTTTGCAGTGTTGTGGGATATTTGACATGGGTGAATAGAATTGTGGGAAGAGTATAATACATCCAATTAATATAACTTCCCAATGCCTATACATATTCTATTAACACTGTGTACATAATACCAATTAATGTAATGTATACTGTGCCTAACATATATGTATTGGCTAACAACTATTACCATACACTTAGGGAGTTTCTTTTGACATGATCTATGTATATTTTTAATTATAGCATGATTGATATCTAATTTATGTTACAGTTCTAATGTATGATGAAACAATTATTTATGTACAATAACAAATTCTAACAACAAGGAAATAAATATATATACTTTAAAATCACTCTTTATGTAATAAAGGAACATAAGGACAAGAAAAAGACCAAACTTGTCCTTAACACTTTACCTGATACCATTAATTTAATTCAGTTTGTGACTTCTTAAACTTACTGGTTCATGCAATAGTTATGCTGAAGTATTAAAGAGAAAGGGGAAATTAGTCAGTTTGTCATTTGACATCACTTTCTGTACAGGCTTTCTTTCTTTTTGTTTGTTCCACACTGCCATAGGAGTTTTTAAATTTTATTTTCCTAGTCAAACAATTTTCAGGTGGGTTCAGGGGTCAATACAGTACCTGAATTCTTTGAAATGTATGGAATTGACTAGAAATTTAATTTTTTTTAAACTGGCTTCAAGTTAACAGTATTCCTTTAAGTAACTGAGGAAAACTGCTACTGTTCAGGTCTTCAACATAATGTTAAGTGTGTTCCAGAATAACTTGGGTTATTCTGCCCTTATCCTGCTTACAGACTTTGCTCTTGGTTTGGATAGGAAGACATTCTTCCTACAAAAAGAAAAGGAGTACTTGTGGCACCTTAGAGACTAACCAATTTATTTGAGCATGAGCTTTTGTGAGCTACAGCTAAGCTCATGCTCAAATAAATTGGTTAGTCTCTAAGGTGCCACAAGTACTCCTTTTCTTTTTGCGAATACAGACTAACAGACTAACCATTCTTCCTACGCTTTCACAAGGACAGACAGCTGGAGCGAATTGGGAAAATGCCAACAAAACAGTTTGTTGGTGAAAACTAAACATTTTGGTTAGGTTTAGGCAAGGTTCTGATGGGACCCAGGAGAGGCTCCGACAGAACCCAAGTATACCACTTCTTTCCCTTTTACAGAGAATTCTGCATTTTTTGCTTACCTTCCAAATCAGAACAAGATCAAATTTCAAAATGTCTAAATACTCCAGAAGCAGAACTATCTTTCTCTACTTAGCTCTAGCAAGAACTCTGCTCTTCCAGCTAAAAAGCTTTGAAGTGCAGTTCTCAAAACACAATCCTCCCGTGACCTCTTGAGCTACAAACTAAGGTACCTTTCCAAGCATAGTTTGCTTCAAACTGACTTTTCTGCCTACCTGCGATCCAACCAAACAGTGTTAAACTTGCAACCTAGGATCTTGATCCCACAACCCCTTGATGGCTAGAATGGTAAGGGCCGTATTTAACTCCTTTAGAGGATAATGGTTATCATGAACTTGTCACAAGGTTTTCAATCATGTAAAGCAATATTTATTGTCTAAAGGGAACTTCCTCCAGTCCTAATTTAAGTGAACATACATCTTGAGAGATCCAGCCTTGGGTTGCTATATTTAAATCCTACTAAGCTCCCTGTCATGTTGGGTTGATTGGACTGGTTTTTTACGCTTTTTAAATTCTAACTGGTAGTTCAAACTATTGTATTGTGCCTGATTCATTAAAACCAAACTAACCTAACACCTGATGTTTTTATTAGGGTTGGTCTAGTTGAATCTAAAATTCGTGTACTCGTTGGGAACTTGGAGAGAAATGAATTTATAAACCTTGCACATGTTAATCCTCAGTCTTTCCCTGGCAACAAGGAACATTGCAAAGAGTAAGTTAAGTTTCTTTTCTTTCTTTTTTTTTTTTAAAGTTTAAGAATGTGGTAGTTTGGTCCCTGTTAAAATTAAATTGAAATCTGCTAGTCTTCAGTCATTGTAGATATCTTGCAAGAATGCATGTGGAGGTATTTCAAGCTAATCAAACATTGTTTCACAGCTGTGTATCTTCAAGAAAAGGCAATCTGAACATGTCATAACATTTAAGAATGAGTGAAATATTGTACCTCTGACTAGTATACCAAAACACATAAGTACTAAAATGCAGATTTAATCTGCAACTCTATAATAATGAACAGGTAAATGATGGAGATTATTTTGTTTAATCCAGTTCCTGAAGTTAAATTGGGAACATCCAAATAGAACTGACATTGACACACAAATGAGACGCATCAGTGATTTTTTTTATTATTGGTTTTTAAAGGAGCAACTATGTATCCATGTGGTTCCTTGGAATAATTTTTAGGAAAATGGAAAATGCAGAAAGTGTTAACATTGACTTAACGTATGATATACAATCATTCACAGATACAGGTAAGCTTATATTTCACTTTAGTATTGGTATGGTTTTTAGTTTGACTCATACAAGATTATCTAAATAGCTAATATAATCCATAAACTCTTCCCGAACTCTGCCTCCTCCAGGATAGTTATGGTGAAGGTCTAGGCACAGAGCATGTGGAGGCTTAATTTTAAAATAGTAAACTTTCTATTTTGCCCACAAAACAGATATCTATCTTGGATGTATACCTGCTATAGCCATACAATAAGTAAGAAGGCGCATTCCTTGTCAGATACACAAACCATATGAGGAACATGGTGAAGACCTGAATTGAAGCACTCTATAGCCTCTTACACTAAAGAGTTCTGCTAGACTTGTAAAAATGACACTATTTACATCCATCATATTTTTTTTTTATTTTTTTTTTAGTGGCAGAAAAATCAGTAACATCAGCGCTACCTGTAAAACAATTAAAATACACATTCTGTCCATGTACCAGAGTGGGTAATGAGGGAAGACCTAAAACTTAAGCAGCACAGTAGATGTGTGAACCTCTTCTCTGGCATAGTGGGCACAGCTGGCTCAGTGAAGTTAACTATGCACTTGCTAGGCCAAAGGCAGCAAAGCTGGTGCCAGTGACTTGAAATAGGTGCCTCTGAATCATATGCATGGAAGTCAAAAAGGGGCATGAAGTTTGGGAACCCATACTTAAGACCATGAGAACAGTCTTGTTGTATGTAACTTGTAATGGGAATTGTCAAGAGTAGCAACCAAGAACTTAGAACCCAAAATTTCTATACTATTGATAGTTCAGAACTAACTCCCATCTGAGTCTGAAAACTAGACTGAACATCTGAAAACCTATTGTCATGGACACTTCTACATTGGTAGGGGCATGAATGCTCTTCTCCAGATTTGAGCACGGAGTTATTCTAATGTTACAAACACACAACTTTTCTTACTAGTTACCTTGAGAATCAGGTTACAAACTCTTCCTTTCTCTTTCATTTGTGATGTGTTGGAACCACTGAAGTGTAGGTCTGAAAGGACAACGTTAATTTAATTTAATTCCATGATATTTTACTTAGTATTGTTATAAGTAATTCCCAAGGCTACGATAAAAAAAAAACCTCTTATTTTTCAGTTGTTTTCTTTAGTTTGATCATTTGACAGCATTTGGTGTATATGCAGCAATCTGGTTCGTTGCTCTTTGGCTTAGTTTCTCAGTATGTTGTTGGAGCTATGGTGAACCTATTGCCTTGAGTGCAGGCAACTGGACTAGATGACCTCTCGAGGTCCCTTCCAGTTCTATGATTCTGTCTGAGAAGTTCAGTCAAATTCCATGTGGGCATCTGATGGGTAATGAAAAAGTGCTTGTTAAACTTCAGTTGTGAGGTGAGGTGGCAGTGGTGCTTGGATAATATGGTAACTTCTAACAGTTCCTTGGGGCAAAAGTCATTGAGGGCTAAAGCAATTGAGAAGCCTGCAGAAATCTGGCATACAAATGTGTAAGCATTTGAAAATGTTAGTGTGGAAGCCCAGTATGCTAGTTTGTCAGACTTAGGAGTGGACTGTCTAATACTTGTACAAAGTCTTTGCAGTGTATGTATTTATTTGAATGTCAACTGTAGTCTTTAACCTTTAAAACTTTAATAGTGAACTTATGTATTTTTTTCTTGCATTTAAGTTATAACGATTGGCCCATATCAGTGCATTTATGGATGGCGTTCTGCATGGGCGCTGACTTCCTCTCTTCCGGGTGGGTTCTTGACGTCCCCACCTCTACCCTGCTTCCTCCCCTGAGTGCGCCACATCCCTGCTCCTCCCTCTCCCTCCTGGAAAGTCCTAAACAACTGTTAGGCGGCAGGGGAGCAGGAAGCGCTGGGAGAAACAGAGACGTGGTGCGCTCGGGGGTGGGGGAGAAAGAGGCAAGGAGGCGGGAGCTTGGCTACCAGTTGGTGCAGAGCAACCAGTCGCCACCTATGCTGTTATGGATGTTTTTGTGTGCAACTCTGTAGCTCAAACTGTTACCAGACCTCTCTTTGAAGTCATTTAGTTTGAAGTCAAATGTTTGGCCTTGCTAAACAAACTGTGCCATTTTAACTTAACTAGTATAGTTAATCATTCAACACCTAAATGGGTATAACTGCATCCGCAGTAGAAATTTGCTTTATATGATACAGCTTGTTCCTTGCTTACCCAAGCTCTGCCTTGAGGCACAGGCTTTCCTAATCGGATTGGCAGTGAGGAGGGGAGATACAGAAACCCTGTGTTTAAATAAGCCCTTAGTCTTTTCTATTGATTTGAAATCAATATAGCTAAATTGGTGCAGCCCACTAGTGTGGATGCAGTTATACTCATGAAAATGGGCTTATGTTGGTAAATAAGCTGTACGTAAACGTACCAATATTAGCACCTTTATCCTAATAGTACATAGTTAAATTGGTACATAAATGTTGCATAGACAAGTCCCACTGCTTTTAGATTTTAATGGTTTTAGTGAAAGATCAATGGAAGCTCAGGATCTTTTAACTAATTCTAGTATCCCCAATGCTCTTGGCAACCTACTGAACAACTAACTTAAACAAATGCAGAATATAAAGTCCACTAAGTAAACTCTTAAGACTGAATATCCACAAATGTGATGCCCAGTATTAAACTTTGAATCAGGGAGAGTGGTATTGCTGCACTTGGTTTATAGGAGACGGAAATGGAAGATACTCTCTTAAAGGGACACCATTTAAAAAAAAAATGTGCCAAATTTTAACTTACATGATCAGTCCTATTTTGTCTCTACCTCTGCTTTGCCTGTCTCCTCGATTTCTGGGCAGTCATGCTAGTGAAACGAAATAAACTGCCTCAAGCTTTTTTGTCTGAATTTTTAGATTTAAGTATTTAAACAGCTGAGTTATTTGATCTGCAAACTACATGTATTTGAATCCATCAATTACCCAACACTGTTTGCAGAGCCTAAACTTAACTGAACTTTCTCAGTCCAGTGAATCAAAGAGGGAATTAAATTTAAGATTAAAAAAAAAAAAGCCCTACATTCCTCTTACTCGCCAACATTGTTTGCAACCTTTTTAAGCAGTACAGACACCTGTAATTAGTTGTTTTAAAGAGGTATCTTTAAACAAAGTTAAAATGACTACAGGATGGTGACCGACTGTAAATATCAAATGGACCAAGTTGGTTATGAAATGTAAAGTAAAATGGGCTTCCCAGCATACAGTTCTCCCATTTTTATTAACTATCATGAATTTGGAAACTCTCCTGGTGACCTTCTGTTATTGTAGCTTTAGTTTAAATGAGCTTCAACATATTATTGACAATATTCCAATATGATATGTTCAGAGTAAAAATACTTAATGAAGGCCTGCTGTTGGCTTCTTCATTCAGAAACATAATTTTACAAAAATATAATCTAAGTTGAGGGAATTGGAATCTGCATGTATTCTGGCTTTAAATTGGGTAATTGCATATTACAGTTCATAGGCAGGCAAATAACATCAATATGCTAAAAGACGGCATGAAGATTGAAGCAACTCATGTGAAGAAAAAGCAACTGCATTATTATTTGCCTGCTGAAATTTTACAGAAAAGAAAGAAGGTACGTTGAAGTTTTGATCCTTCACATAATATTTGCATGTGTGCATATCTTTTTTTTTAAAAAAAAAGATTATATCTTGTAACCTTTGTTTTCAGCAAAGCATACCAGACATTGGTCGAAACATTAGTGGACTTTCATCCAAAAGGGCTTCGGTGGATGTAAGCTCTTTGGATGGTTCAATGAACACAGACACAGGAACACGATATAGCTCCCCTCCCTTGTTAAACAGGATCTCTAAATTGGACAACAACTCTCTGATAGAAACAGAAAGGTTAGTAGTTTGTAAGCTTGTGCCTTGTAGCAATGTGAAGTGCTTGCAAAGGGTAACTTTTACTTTTAACGTGGACAAGTTTGTTTGGCAGTTCTTACTTATTTCAGTCTTTATATAAATCGCTGTGGCATGTATACTAAATTTTTTTAATCAATAATTAAGTTGATTCTTGGGGTCCTGCAAAATAAATATATGGAATAATTGTAGTGTCTTTTATATCTACAAACTTTTGAAGGATAATGACCATGAATAAATAGAATGGCAGCAAAAATTTAAAGGGACGTTATGCCAGAAATCAACTGTCTTCAATATACAGTATATGCATTTTCTTCAGCCAGTGGATAGTTCAAGGAGATCGGTAACAAGTGTACAGTTGATAGACTAGCTGTGTTACCGAAAATGTGAAAGAGCATATACAATGTTTATTTAACAGGAACACTGTACTTCAGAGAACCAGTGCTGCTACCAGTAGAGAGAAGTCATTGAATGTCACTATGCCATCAGTGCCTGTTAAAAGACTGCCCATTCCAGTTATTGGTTCAAGTATGTATCCAAACATAGTAAGGAAAATGTAACCCTTAACTCTATGTAACTACACTTTAAAGGCTCTTTTCTTTGTGCAGAGACCGAGATTGCAGGTACAACAAAAGCAGTGCTACCTCCAACTGGATGCGCCATACCTACAGTAGTAGGACGAAATGTGATTTCTCGACTTATTACACCACCTCCTGCACAGGGACAACAGCTCCTAAATGGAATTTCAACTCTAAACTCTAAAAATGCTGCACCTAAAAGACCTCATTCACCTTCCTCAGAAGAATGCACTAAAAGACTTAAAGATATAGAAAAGGTAAAAACACACTTCAATATGGAATCAAAGGGAGAAAGAGTTGGAGAGATGTATATAGATAAACTCCAAAAGACCCTGCAGGTAATGTTATAACTTCAATTTTTAATACTGTCCTTTAAAAAGAAAATACTGGCTGTCAGAATTAGCCTAGTGTTTAATGTTCAAAGTTCGTGTATGTAGAATGCAGTGTTCAGATCTGACATGACAGTTTCATTCCAGCAATCCAGTGACTAAATCCTAAACTTTGATTATAGGCTCTTGGAAAGTTTGAAACAATTGCTATACCACACCTACCATTAGATGCTCTAGGAAGAGAGAGAAACTGTCTCATAGGAACAACATCTAATCTGAAGCTCTATGAAACATTTAAAAATAACCTGGAAAGGATTTTTTAAAAAAGCTAGGCTTGTGCCCTTTATTTGTTGCTTAGTGATTTTATAAAGAGGGCCCAAAAGTTCCTACTGTTTGCTTGATTTAACCATAGAAATCAGTATTGTTAATTCTGGACTATCTTCTTTTTGCTGAATGACCTAGATGCCTATTGTTAGTGCCTTTCATTATAGAGGTGGTATTGAAATCTTTACCAAAGCCTGCCTTTCTCCAAAATGTTCATTAGTCATTGAAGTTTGACTAAAGAGTCTACATTTCTTCTACTTCTTTGAGTAATGGTCCCTATTGTATTCCATGGTGGGTTATGCATGCGCAACATACATCCAGAGCTGGAGAATTTGAAAGTAGTGTCCGTTGGTCCACACATGCACTCTGATTCACCTGTGCCTCTGTCTGAGGGGATAGAGAGCAGGGCAGACTGATCACCTCTCCAGTTTCTTCTCACTACTGCATGGTCCAGGTTGGAATCTTCAGTGTCTACAGCTTTGGCTACATCCTACAAAATAAGAATTACCTAGTTTGTAAACAGCTTTAACAGTTTAGTGTTTTTATAGATCAGTTTCCTGGGTAAAACCACCCCATTTAGGTCCAGGACTATGCCCAGGACTCCAGGCATCAAACGCCATGCTTCCTTCCCACAATCTTTCTCGGTCAGCGACAACCACCTCCGTCTGTACTGCCTTGGGAAAGCCCACATCATGATGAGGTGCAGTATCTGTCAATTGTTCCCTAGCCATACCCGAGAAAGGCAGGAACTTCGTCTCCGCAAATACCTCACGAAGAAGGCCATGAAGCCCCAGTCGGATCCACCTCTGAGGGACTTGACCGCGGGAAGGAGTTTATCACCCATCCCATACACAGAACACTTCTCCCTTCCAACGGCACCAACAGTACCACCACTGGAACTGGAATCTGACTTCTCTTCTTCAGGAGAGTGTGAATCGCCCCATGAACTTTTCTTCCCCTACCCTGTGTGTTCACCACCACCCAAGAGACCTGCACCAGTTTGGGACCAACCTCTCCTTCATCTAACTTTGGAGCTGCTGGCATGGGGCCCCCATGACCACCTACTGACCCTTCCTACTGGGGGCCTTGGGACCAGTAGTCCCATGCAGAGTCTGTCCGATCTGCCAGGGAGTCACCTCTTGCCTCCCCTCTAAGGGAACACTCAGATCTGCCCCTGGATCTGGCATAGGAGGAACATTATGCTATGGATCAGGTGGTTCCACTGGAACTAGTAAGACTGCCATCTTCATTCCTGGAAGAAGTGGTGACTCCTACATCTCCATCCACCTCTCTTCCCCCAGTGACTTCAGGAAGTTCCTAGATCATCTCCACAGAGTTGCTGGAGAGTTTGATTCCTCTCCAGGAGATCCAGGACTCTCAGCACAAACTCTTAAACATCCTCCATGCATCTAGACCCCAACATATTAGCTCTCCCTGCTAATGAAGCCATACTGGAGCCATTTAGAACAGTTTGGTGCTCCTCTGCCAGCTGCGCTCCTACCCTGAAAAGGGCAGAATAGCGTTATTACTGAAGGAATGCTGAAGGAACAAATTTATTTTCTCACCCCACTCTCAACTCCGTGGTGGTCCATCCCGCTTCTGAAAGGGCTACACAGTCACATCCCTGGTCTATCCTTGCTGATAAAGAGGGCAAATGCCTGGATCTGCTGGGGAGAACGGTCTTCTCATCATCCAGCCTCCAGTTCAGGATAGTCACTAATGGCTAAATACAATTTCCTGACTTATGCCAAGTTTGCAGGGTTTACTGACTGCCTTCCGCAGTAGGACAGAGCTCATTTTCAAGCTCTGATCGATGAAGGCAAACTGCTCACGGTCCCTGGACTCCAGGGCTACCCTCCGTTTACATCACAAACAAGCCTCGAGTACTGGTCAAGTCGTGTTTATCTGCTAGGTCATATGGTCTCATGGTTTCTTCAGGTATGTTGGCAACAAGAAGAAAGCCAAGGAAAGTGTGGGCCCCTTACTGAATGAGGGAGGCAACCTAGTGACAGAGGATGTGGAAAAAGCTAATGTACTCAATGTTTTTTTTGCCTCTGTCTTCACTAACAAGGTCAGCTCCCAGACTGCTGCGCTCGGCATCACAAAATGGGGAAGAGATGGCCAGCCCTCTGTGGAGATAGAGGTGGTTAGGGACTATTTAGAAAAGCTGGATGTGCACAAGTCCATGGGGCAGGACAAGTTGCATCCGAGAGTGCTGAAGGAATTGGCGGCTGTGATTGCAGAGCCATTGGCCATTATCTTTGAAAACTCGTGGCGAACCGGGGAAGTCCCGGATGACTGGAAAAAGGCTAATGTAGTGCCAATCTTTAAAAAAGGGAAGAAGGAGGATCCTGGGAACTACAGGCCAGTCAGCCTCACCTCAGTCCCTGGAAAAATCATGGAGCAGGTCCTCAAAGAATCAATCCTGAAGCACTTGCATGAGAGGAAGGTGATCAGGAACAGCCAGCATGGATTCACCAAGGGAAGGTCATGCCTGACTAATCTAATCGCCTTTTATGATGAGATTACTGGTTCTGTGGATGAAGGGAAAGCAGTGGATGTATTGTTTCTTGACTTTAGCAAAGCTTTTGACACGGTCTCCCACAGTATTCTTGTCAGCAAGTTAAGGAAGTATGGGCTGGATGAATGCACTATAAGGTGGGTAGAAAGCTGGCTAGATTGTCGGGCTCAACGGGTAGTGATCAATGGCTCCATGTCTAGTTGGCAGCCGGTATCAAGTGGAGTGCCCCAAGGGTCGGTCCTGGGGCCGGTTTTGTTCAATATCTTCATAAATGATCTGGAGGATGGTGTGGATTGCACTCTCAGCAAATTTGCAGATGATACTAAACTGGGAGGAGTGGTAGATATGCTGGAGGGGAGGGATAGCATACAGAAGGACCTAGACAAATTGGAGGATTGGGCCAAAAGAAATCTGATGAGGTTCAATAAGGATAAGTGCAGGGTCCTGCACTTAGGACGGAAGAACCCAATGCACCGCTACAGACTAGGGACCGAATGGCTAGGCAGCAGTTCTGCGGAAAAGGACCTAGGGGTGACAGTGGACGAGAAGCTGGATATGAGTCAGCAGTGTGCCCTTGTTGCCAAGAAGGCCAATGGCATTTTGGGATGTATAAGTAGGGGCATAGCGAGCAGATCGAGGGACGTGATCGTTCCCCTCTATTCGACATTGGTGAGGCCTCATCTGGAGTACTGTGTCCAGTTTTGGGCCCCACACTACAAGAAGGATGTGGATAAATTGGAGAGAGTCCAGCGAAGGGCAACAAAAATGATTAGGGGTCTAGAACACATGAGTTATGAGGAGAGGCTGAGGGAGCTGGGATTGTTTAGCCTGCAGAAGAGAAGAATGAGGGGGGATTTGATAGCTGCTTTCAACTACCTGAAAGGGGGTTCCAAAGAGGATGGCTCTAGACTGTTCTCAATGGGGGTAGATGACAGAACGAGGAGTAATGGTCTCAAGTTGCAGTGGGGGAGGTTTAGATTGGATATTAGGAAAAACTTTTTCACTAAGAGGGTGGTGAAACACTGGAATGCGTTACCTAGGGAGGTGGTAGAATCTCCTTCCTTAGAGGTTTTTAAGGTCAGGCTTGACAAAGCCCTGGCTGGGATGATTTAACTGGGAATTGGTCCTGCTTCGAGCAGGGGGTTGGACTAGATGACCTTCAGGGGTCCCTTCCAACCCTGATATTCTATGATTCTATGCAACTACAGCACTCCACTTGCAAGACTCCACTTTCGTTGCCTTCAAACACGGCAATCGGTGTACTCCCCAAAATGTTAGTCAGTGAACCCCATGATGACCATTCTGCTCAGTGTCTTCCCTGCTATGGTGGACAAATCCAAATCCTTGTCAGGTATGCATGGGCTCCTCTTTCTCCCTTCCTCTCCAGACAGGACCATTACTACAGATGCGTCCCTATTGAGTTGGGGAGCCCACATGAACAACCACATAGCTCAAGGTACCTGGACATCTCAAGAGTCCAGGATGTGCATCAATATTCTGGAGTTTGAACAGTCTGAAAGGCATGAGGGTCCCTTCTTTCATTCATCCACACTCACCAGGTCCCTATAATGTCAGACAACATTACACTGTCTTCTTCATCAACAAGCAATGAGGAGTGGGTTCCGCCTCCCTGTGCACAGAAGCAGTCAACCTCTGGAACTGGTGTATCACCAATCAAATCATCCTGTCGGAAGCCTACATTCTAGGAAAGCAAAATGTGCTTGCAGACTCCTTTTAGCAGACATTTCAGTCAACCACAAGTGGGAGCTCCACAACGCAGTACTGTGTGAATTTTCACTCTGAGGAACCCCAACCAGAGACCTGTTCACCTCTCAAGAAAACAGGAAATGCACCACATATTGCTCCAGAGAAGATCTTGGTTGTCATCCAAGACACTCTGCTTCTTCCTTGGTTGGATCAGCTCAACTATGACTTCCCTCTTTTACTGGTCCTTCCACAAGTTCTATGCAAAATCTAGTAGGAGGGAGAATGGGTTTGTCAGATTGCGTGTCCCCCCCCTTTCTGGGGTGCCACCTCATGTACTTGGGTACCACTCAGCCCACCGGTTCCACCAGTCTGGGTTCCCTTACACTACCCTGCTGAGCCAGGCCCTCAAGCCTTCTCCAGCACACAAACAGATAGGGCCACACCCAGCTGCAGAAAG